TGCCTGCGAGGTCATTCTGCTCTGTTCTTCCTTCTTTTGAAGTTTCTCAAACTGCCAGCATCTGATAACTTTAATTGTGCTTTCTAAAATTAAAAGGTAAAAATTCCACATAATAAATTTTAAGAACAGTGTTCCCTGAGGGATATAGTGACACCTAAGTCTCCCTCCTACTCCTAACCCTATATACCTTGATACTTCTCCCTAGAAAACATGTTTTCCAAGTCTCTCGTACTTCTTTCTAGAGGTCCTGTATGAAGTATATCCACCTATAACACTATACACAAATTAAGGTACTTAATACACACTTCATTATTTTACTAATTTTGTCACTTGAAGTATATCTTAATATTCTACATGATTACAATTTTCCATTCATTCAAACAGTATTTATTTAAACTGATTACATACTAGCCTTTCTTTTAACTCCTAAGGGTGTAGCATTAAACAGGTACAATCACTACACTCATTGATTTACTCTACTTGCTTTGATTGACAAATTGATAATTTTGATTGAAAAATAAAAACATGACAAAATCATTTATGCACTGTGAATTAGAATAACAATATATGCTATGTTAGGTAATAGTAAGTGCTAAGGAAGCAAATAAATGAGGATCAAAAGACAGGAAGTGTAGATACATAGTCCTGCCATACTATCCATAAGTGTGCACAGATCCCCGGGAGCAGCTGTGTGGACCAGAGTGGCATGACTGCAGGTGGATCCCAGTCTTGGCCCTTCCCTGATCCCAGAGGCACAGGCACACCTGCCAAAGCCACAGGCCTTCCTAGAAAAGAGCTTCACAGGCATGCAAGGTTCAGCCAGAGACTGGTCATACCTTCTGCCACAGCCAAGGGCCCACCTGGAAAGGAACTACACAGACACACAAGCAACAAACAGAGGCTCACTCTGATACTATTGATAAGTGTGGGGAGACCCTAGCCAGAATCCTACTCAGATAATAGGAACTGGGGGATACAGCACCAAGCCAAAGGCCCTCTTTGACAACAGCTACATAGAGGCCCCAGAGAAAGGCACACCTAAATACCATCCCAACTGTGCACAGGCCCCAGAAAGAAGCCTCCCAGACAACAGGTCAGCTACAGGATCCAGAAAGCCACCATTCTAAACCCAGAAATTGGTGTACTGGGGAGCAGCAGAGCAAAGTCTGCTCCATGGCTTGCTGAGAATTAAAGACCACTGGGTGAGCAAAAAGTTGCCTCAACAATGGCACAGTAGACTGCATCTATTGAAATAAAAAGACATGGAAATACATCTCAAAACCATAATCCCAGAGCACCTAAGGCAATCCTACAGGTCAATGAGATGAAATAATCTGATATTCAACCACTTGGACTCCATGAACTGCCAATGAAAGAGGACCTGGAAGAAATGAAATCAGAAATAATTTATCAGATAGGAGCAGAGACTATGCCCATAGTATAAGACATGGTTAACAAATCTAGAGCAGACACAGATTTAAAAAAATACAGGAACAGAATTTCAGATATAGAAAAATAGGATTTCAATAGTGACAAAGAAAAGAATAATTTATTAAAAATAGTAAGGGAGGGCTGGGCGTGGTGGCGCATGCCTGTAATCCCAGCACTTGGGAGGCTGAGGCAGCAGGATTTCTGTGAGTTTGAGACCAGCCTGGGCTATATAGTAAGTTCCAGGTCAGTCTCAACTACATAGTGAGACCCTGTCTCAAAAAAAAAAAAAAAAGTAAGGGACCATCCAGCAGCTGCTAGATGATGCAAAGAAAAATAACTTAAGACTGATTGGAGTCAATGAAGAAATGGGAGAGAGTGTAGATGACATAAAAAAAAATGTTCAAAGAAGTAATGGCAAAAAACTTCCCAAATAAGGGAAAAGAACTTGACGTACAGATAAGTGAGGCTTACAGGACTCCAACTAGCCGTGATAAAAAGAGATCTACACATAGCCATATAATAGTTAAGATTCCAGAAACCCAATAGAAGAACAAAATTCTAGATGCAATTAGAGAAAAGAAACAAATCATATACAAAGGAAAGCCCGTCAGAATCACAGCAGACTTATCAACACAAATGCACAAGGGAAGAAGAGCATGGAGTGATATATTTCAAGCCCCAGAGGAAAACAATCTCCAACCTAAAATGATGTACCCTGCAAAACTATCTTTCAAAATTGTTGGAGAAATAAGATACTTTCATGACAAAGAGCACCTTAGGAACTTCATAAATACTGAACCAGCACTCCAAAAAATTTTAAACAATATCCTAGGAAAAGACAAAGAGGATCAAAATCCCAGGAAGCCCAGCAGAATGAATCCATTAGGCACAACAAGAAATTAAATGCAAGAGGGGAGAATCCAACAAAAAGAAACAGCCACCACAAGGACAAGTCAATACATATCAGTTATAACCATCAATGTTAATGGTCTCAATTCACCAATCAAAAGAAACAGACTGGCAATATGGGTCAAGAAGCAAGATCCAACAATATGCTGCATACAAGAAACACACTTACTTAAAAAAGAAATTCATAGACTGAGAATTAAAGGGTGGAAAACAATGCTTCATGTGACAGGAACCTTCCAAAACAAGCAGGAGTAGCTATCCTCTTTGAAAATCAAGTGGATTTTAAACCAACACTGATTAAGAGACAAAGGAAGACACTACATCCTTGTAAAGGGACCAATCCAAGAGAAAGACAAGACAATCATTAATATATATATATGCACCACGCTTAGTGAACCCAACTATATAAAATAAATACTAAGGAACATGAAAAATCATATAAGCACTAATACAACAATACCCCATTGTCAAAATAGATATATCAACCAGATAAAAAATAAACAATGAAACAGTAGAACTAAAACTGTTGAACAAATTAACTTAACTGATGTTTATACTGCCCCCCCACAAAATAAGAATATACGTTCTTTTCAGCTGCACATGGATCACTCTCCAAAATAGACCACATACTTGCTCATAGAATGTGTTTAAGTAAATGCAAAGCAATTGAAATTATCCCCTGTATATTATTAGACTGTACTGCAACGAAATTGGAGATTAACAGCAAAAGAAACTGTAAGAATTTCATAACACGTGGAAATCGAGCAATACAATTCTGAATAATCAATGGGTCACAGAGGAAATTAAAAAAGAAATCAGACAGTTCCTACAATTAAATCACAATGTCATTACAACATATCAGAATCTTTGGGACACAGTGAAAGCAATCTTATGAGGGGAATTCATAGCAGTGAATACTCATATTAGGAAATCAGAATAAGCTCAATTACACAACCTGATGCTGAACCTCAAGCTCCTAGAAGAAGAAGAGCAGGAGAAACCCAAAGCTCATACAAGGGAGGAAATTATAAAGATCAGGGAAGAAATTAATGCAATGGAGACTAAGAGAACAATACAAAAAAATCAATGAAGCCAAGAGTTGATTCTTCAAAAGAATAAACAAAATTGACAAACTGGTAGCCAACCTTATCAAACAAAGGAAAGAAAAAGCCCAAATCCATGAAATTAGGAATGTAAAGGGTGAAATTAAAATGGACCCAGCAGAAATCCAGGGGATCATCAGTATCTACTTCAAGAACCTATACGCCAATAAGATGGAAAATAAAGAAGAAATGGACAGATTCCTGGAGGCATATAAATTACCAAAGTTGGATGAAGATGCCCTAAAAATTCTAAATGATCCAATATCAATCAATGAAATAAAAAATATAATTAAAAACTTACCAAGTAAGAAAAGCATGGGTCCTGATGGCCTCACTGCTGAATTTTACAAGACATTTAGAAAGAAACTACTAGTACTACTGTTAAAACTCTTCAATGAAATTGAAAGGGAAGCAATACTCCCAAATTCATTCCTGGAAGCAAGCATCACATTGATCCCCAAAACAGAAAGACTCAACCAAACAAGAGAACAATAGGCCAATCTCAACAGTAAGATTAATAAGATACTGACAGATAGAATGCAGAAGATCATCCAGAAGATCATAGACTCATACACCGTGACCAAGTGGGATTCATCCCAGGGATGCAACGATGGTTCAACATATGCAAATCAATAAATATATACACTATATTAGTAGAGCCAAGGACAAAATCTTTATAATCATCTCAGTAGATGCAGAAAAAGCATTTGACAAAATCCAACACAAAATTATGATAAAAACCCTCCCCAAAATTGAAATAGTCTCTACTTCAATCTGATAAAAGCTATCTATGCAAAACCAACAGCCAATATCATACTAAATGGTCAGAAACTGAAATCCTCCACAATAAAGTCAGAAACATGACGATGATGCTCACTATCACCACAACTGTTCCATATAGTTTTGGAAACATGAACCACAGCAATTAGACAAGAGAAAACAATAAAAAGAGTAAAGATAGGAAATGAAGAAGTCAAATTGCCATTATGTGCAGATGACATGATACTCTAAATAGAAGACCCCAAGAACTCCATAAAAGTCTTCTAGACTTAATAAGCACAATCAACAAAGTAGTTGAATACAATACCTTAAATGTACTAATAAAATTAATTTTTAAAAAGACAAAAAATGTCAGGAAGTGTTGAGTATATATATATGCCTCTGCCTTTTAAGTACAGCATGATAGTCTATATCCTTGCAAACATTCTCTCTGTGTGTAATTTAAGCCAAGTGGAAAATTTTCTTGAAAATGTAATTGTAACAGAAGAAAGAATTACTTAAGTGCCTTTCCATGTCACTTACCAGGCTGACCTTCTCAAAGGTAAAGACTATACCTTAGGTATCTTCAAGTATATATGCCTCTGCCTTTTAAGTACAGCATGATAGTCTATATCCTTGCAAACATTCTCTCTGTGTGTAATTTAAGCCAAGTGGAAAATTTTCTTGAAAATGTAATTGTAACAGAAGAAAGAATTACTTAAGTGCCTTTCCATGTCACTTACCAGGCTGACCTTCTCAAAGGTAAAGACTATACCTTAGGTATCTTCAAGTTTTCTGAGGCCAGGGGTATACTTTTTTATTTGAACATGTAGCATCGAGGAGCAGAAGCCTGGCTTTGAGCTTAGCTCTCATTCTTCCAGGAAGCACCCCAGCCTCGCAGCTCCTCGGTTCACCATCCTAAAGGTCCAGTATACAGTGATTTTCTTGGACCGTGCTGAACATTCTGTGCTGACTATAGAGCCTACCTGGGACAGAAAGTGAAAAGTCTGTTCTATTAAATGATAAATTTTAATTTTTTTTCTCCTCTGCACAGAATGGACACTATGCAGAATGTCCAGGCTTAGGAATGCTCACTTCAAAGGGGAAGAAAAGAATAATTCACATCACACACTTAAGAACTTTTAAACATCTACATCTCTCTTTTCCAAAGTCTTTTCTTCGATGCATCCAAAGGAGTCTACATACTCTCAAGGTTAAGTAAAGTAAGAAAATTGGTATATTGCAAGGACTACTGAGTGTTTAAAGTTAAAATCAGTCCAGTTTATAGGGGGAAAAAAAACCTCTCCTGGAAAGACATGATGGATATGTAGCAACTCAGAGCTCTGATAATATTTTCAGAGGATGTCAGAACATTTACAATTATTCATGCTTAGAACTCATTTACTCCATGGCATTATCTTTGTTGGTCATAAAGGCAAGTATCCTTGAAGCAAGTAAGGTAAGGTCATCTCACAATTATAATCAGCAAGCTCTTTGCTCTTAGTTTGGTTAGAGGAAGTAAGAGGAAAATATATAAATAAGAAAGTCAACTATAAACAGCTAGACTGTGTGCCTGAATTTGTAGGGCAGGTGATTCTTGCTGATGCCAGAGCCTGCTGTTCTCAAGTAGAGCAACAAGAAGTGATTTCTATTAAACTCTCATATCTTATTATTTTAAAACATAAATTGCCGTTAGGCCTTTCTGCAGAATAGACGATGATGATAATTTACACATGCTGGACAGATAAATGATTCAATTCTTAGTTACAAGAGACTGTTGACAGTGATTACTGATGCTCATTTCTTTCATGCACATTGTGTGAGGCAGGAAACTCCAGGTTTAGAGGCCTTTCATGTTTTCTCAAAGTAAATCAGTCACTTACATAATAATTATTTATTATTCCACGTTGGCAAACAGTTGGGTGCATTTATGACAGTTAAGCGCTTTAGATAAAGTGCTGCAAAGTGGCACAACTGATAAAATATTTTACAGCTCAAGAGATAGCAACAATAATTAGAAGGCTTTGGTATCTAATGAAAGTAAAAACTGTGAGGCTTTTTCATTGACTTGTGGCTAGTTTTCACCTGTAATTTTTTTATTTTACAGCTCAAGAGATAGCAACAATAATTAGAAGGCTTTGGTATCTAATGAAAGTAAAAAACTGTGAGGCTTTTTCATTGACTTGTGGCTAGTTTTCACCTGTAATTTTGCATGTTCAGGACTAAAATACTGATATTCACTAAGATTGAATTGAGACCACTAGGAATTTTTCTAAGCAACAGCTTCTCTAGGTATAACTTCTCAATCCATCTATCCATATACTTCATTTTTCATTCATGCAGTCAACATTCAGCTTTGCTGAAGCATTTTGTTTTGTTTTATTTTTTAAGACAGGGTCTCACTATGTAGTGAGACTGATCTGGAACTCACTATGTAGCTCAGGCTGGTCTCAAACTTGCGGCGATCCTCCTGCCTCAGCCTCCCAAGTGCTGGGATTATGGGTGTGCACCACCACGCCTGGTTTATGAAGGATTTTCTATGTGTGTAGTGTCCTTATAAATACTTTTGATCATGTCTGACTGTGACGACCTGTGACGGAAGCAGGTGAATTTTTGCTTCAATAGAATCTGGTCTGCCTCTTCCAATTCTCTGCCCTGCTTTATTCCAGAATTTTATCAGAGTTCACTTTCCATGAAAATAGAAAGTTTAAATATGGGTGCTTTTGTTTTAGTGCTTTGTCAGTGGCACTTTATTTCAAAATTTTATTTCTCTTTGAAAACACATACAAAAGAAAATCTAGTGAAAAACATTTCCTTCATACTTATGACTTCCACCACCTTTTTGATGTCCTGGCTTTATATGTTGCTTTTTTTCTCAGAAGTATGCTATGTACAGTGAACTCTACTATGACATAATGTATGTGTTTCTAAAGATCACTGGATTAAGCAAAGTCACATAACAAAAATCAGAAGGTATTATGAGAAAACCAAGAGCAGGAGTACAGCACTCAAATACATTAGTGGTATGTTTAAAAAATAATAAATATCATCGACACTCAATAAAAACAGGACAGTTTTGTATACACTAAGTGGCTAAGAAATACACAAATACTGCAATAAACATGACATTTTACCTTAAGCAAGACCCAAATTTTGCATGTATAAATGAATGTTGGAAGGATTGTATGTAGCTTGTAACTTCCTGTGATTTCATACAAGGGGGGTTACCTGAGATGTGATGGAAAGTTCAAATACAGGGTGAACTGAGGTTGGTAAATGTTTTCTCATGTGAATGCGTGCATTTTCTCTATTCATGCATGACCCAGATCCTCTGGGTACAGTTTTATGTATTCATTTGACATTTCTGGCAAAATTGTACATAAGCAAATTTCAAAAACTGCACAATTGCGTGGTGTTCAGAAGGTTCCCTAATAGATCAATTGCACTGGGAAAACGCTTGTGTTTTCAAAAGGAGTATAATAGAATTGCTTGTGTATGTATGCGAATGTATCTTTAACTTTCAAAATAAACTTTGATGCAGAATATCTTTTTCAGAAGTTGAAAATACACAAAAAAATAGGAAATATGTAAAGTATAATATTAAGCAACCATATGTTCAGAAGGTTCCCTAATAGATCAATTGCACTGGGAAAACGCTTGTGTTTTCAAAAGGAGTATAATAGAATTGCTTGTGTATGTATGCGAATGTATCTTTAACTTTCAAAATAAACTTTGATGCAGAATATCTTTTTCAGAAGTTGAAAATACACAAAAAAATAGGAAATATGTAAAGTATAATATTAAGCAACCATATGGTCTTTTGGATCTTTCTCCTTCTTTTTTAAGGGTAGGCTATTTACATATATGATTGACCTTATCTGAAAGAAGATATCTATAAAGGGAACTTACTGAATTCTAGAAGAGAAGCTTCTATTGTAAGTGGTGGTACTTGCTCAAGAATTAGTTTACTTTAGATGGCAATAATCTAAATACCATCCAATTTATAACATGGATAAACAAAATGTAGCGTGCCCATGTGACTCCAGCCATAAAAAGGAATGAAGTAGTGACACATATACAATATAGTTACCATTATGCTAAGTCAAAGAATCCAGACACAAAAGGTCACAGACCCACAGAATGTAAAATATTGGTTACTTCCAGTTGAGGGCTGGGAAGGGGAATGATAGGCTTGGTAACTACAGGGTATGGGGTTTCTTTCAGATAAATGTGAAAGTGTCCTAAACCTGAATGTGGTGATAGTTACAGGTATCTGTGCATAATACTAGAAACCACTGCATTGTACATTTTAAGTGCAAATTGTATACATATTATATCACAGCGAGGTTGTTTAAACAAGAATTGGTTTCATTTTAGGTTTTCTCTAGAGAGCATTGTGATAAGGACACCAAGACCTTTTTTTTTTTTTCCTTAAATAAGTACACCAAAGACCTTGTGTTCTTAGATGCTGCGGGGGTGAATGTGAGAAACTCAGCTGATTCTGATGTGCAAAAGTGATAGTCACCTTCAGCAATGCACACTTGTATGCTAGGTGTGTATTGACTCATGGACCAGTCTGCCTGTCCTTTCATCTGTGATATCTCTTTTGAAATCTTGTCCTTCTTCATTTTGATATATTTTATGACTACCTCTGGCAAAAACCCAGGCTGATTTTTAGAGTAAAGTACTTAGTCGCCTTGTTTTTTGAACTCGTTCCTATTGGAGGATATCACTTTGTTGTCTTCCTGCAAGCACAACTTAAATGAGTGGGAAAATATAGATTTTTTTGTCATGATCTCTGATATCTATAGATTTTGAAATGTTTTCTTTGGGCTCTAAAAGTTTCAAAGTTCAAGAACAGCCCTCTTTCATTCTTCTGAAGAAATCATGAATTTTTTGCTTGGACACGTTCTCTGTGTTGTTTTGTTTTCTGTTTCTGTACTTAGAATTTTAAAATGTTGGGCTGGGGTTTTAGATCAGTGGTTCTAGTGCCTGCCTTGTAAGTGCTCGGACCCAAGTTTGATCCCCGGTAGTAAAAAAAGAATTCTAAAATGTTGCTGTGGTGCATTTTAGTATTGGTCTTTATCACTAATTTTTGCTAGACTCTGATGAAGATTGGTCCCTGTAAATACTCTGTCAGCTCCAACTATGTTAAGGTTTTCCCTTATGAAGTCTGTATTTTTAATATTTTGAAACTGCTTTAACTATAGCAGCTTTGGGGGCACAGCGGGGTGTTGAGGGTCACACCCAAAGCCTTGCACATGTAAGGCAAGCGCTGGCACTGCTGAGCTAAATGCTCAGCCCTCTTCTACTTTGAGACAGAGTTTCATTTTTAGTCTATGTTTTTTTCTTCTGCATTCTTACGAGATGTTCTGAATTTTATCTTCTGCTCACTGATCTGACTTCATGACACCCCTGTCCTGCCTAGACTACTTCTTGTGAGTACTTGTGGTATTTATGTTTAAATTTTCCTTTCATTCCAACCATTTCCAATCTTTATTTTATGCTTTAGCTTCAAAGAAGCAATGTCTTATAATTACCTTCTAAACAAATTACTTTTGAAAATTTGTAGAGATTTTAGGGTAAATAATTTTCAAAACTCTGTTTTTCCTTTGGTCTTTAGAGTAACAAAGCTTTATTTTCTCTTCATTGCTACAACAAAGTTCTTAAAAGTAAAGTTCTTCACCTTTGTCAGTCTGTATTCAAAGCCTAGCCCTCCGTGTGATTCTTTTTGTGGTTGGGGGCTAAACTTTCAATTTAAGTTCCATCATTTTCAAACAGGAATCTTTACGAATATAATGGAGTAAGACTTAATACTAAATGAGATAATTCATGAATGGTACTTAACATAGTACTTGATGTACCATGAATGAAAAAAAGAGACTTTTATTTTTCAACTGAGAAGAAAATTATCTAGAGCTAATGTTTGGCAAGGAGGTGAGCTCTCTCCTTAGTTCATCTTTCTTACGATGTGGATGTTTTTTCTGTTCTCATCAGAGTTTAGAGCTGATGATATGCTCGCTACCTAGCAGAGATTTATGTCTCCTAGCTTGGCCCATCTGGGATCTTTTTCTGCCTTTACTTCTTAGCACTATGATGCTTTGGGTGGAGGAGACACACACAAACTATGCTCACTACAGATCATCCTGTCTTTTTTGCTGTGTTTACTGCTTGGGTTCAGGACGTCATTTCCAGTTTTCATTCTCCTTTTACATTTGGACATTATCTGTAAGTTTTCATCTATGAGTAAAAGTAAAATGAGAGTCATTCACAAGAACTGATGAGAGAAAATCCCAGCTCTGGTCATTCCAAACTAGAAATGCTGGTGTAAATAAAGAAACAGTTTTCTAATTGGTATAGTGCCTGGAATCCTAGGCCAATGAAAGGCAGTAAAAATAGGATGACAAATTGTCCTGTTCTTGGACCCTCCAATCATGCCATAGCATCTTTGTGCTGTAAGAGCTTCCTCTGTGTTCTATTCATTTGTCAGCAGGCCTACTGGGTGGTGGTGGCAGGATTCATGCTACTCTGTATTATTTTGCTATTTGAAAATAGATGTCTTTCCCCTTGCTTTTAATATATTTTTGCCTTAGTGTTTTTCTTGAATTCAGGGCCTGTGAAAAGATAGTGGAAGCCTGAGCACATGTGTGATTGGTCCTTTGATACCTAGTGGGGCCTGGGAGTGATTTTGAGGGGCTGAATGATTGTCTCTGGCAACAGTCTCGTAGAGGCCATATTCAAACTGAAGCAGAGAATCTCAAAATCATGCAGGATATTAGAAATTGCAGAGCCCAAGCTACTACCTGGTATTCAAGTCTTCTTCACGATGTCTCCTTCAGTTGGTTTGTCCAATCTCTTCTTGAACCATCTTCTGTGACTATCATTACTGTAGTCCATTTCACAGCCAGGCAACTCCTTGAGTCAAACTGAAATCCATTCTCTTTGAATGGTCTTAAAAACAGAGGATAAAGTTGTTGGGTCAATCGGGGATCTGTGCAGGAGATAGCACTTTAGGTATTTTAGTCAGAATGGTATTTTATACAGGGAACTAGCTAATTTCAAAATTATTTAAAATTTTGGGGTAGCAGGAAAGCCAAGAAATAGATATTGGCATACCCTCAATTTTAACTTTCATTGAACTGTAAGCCACACATAGAAAATACTGTTGGTAGTTTGGCTTCAAGATCACCCAACAGTGAATTTCCAGTCTCACTGAAGAGAAATCTCTCTCTCTCTCTCTCTCTCTCTCTCTCTCTCTGGATAGGGTATTGAGATCTTCCAAACTGGACTCACTGGGCATGATCCTCTTTTCTCAACCTACAATATATTGGAATTGCAAGCATGTACCATCACATAACCAGCACTTTGCTTAATTTCTATCTTCCAAATTAATCTTACTACGTGCTTGCTTCAGCAGCACATATACAAATTTATCTTACTGGCCTCTGTGTTATAGAAGTTACATAGGGTTCCATATCAAGGTAAGCAAATGCATACCAAAGGACTACAGGCAATACAAGGAAAGTTATGTAAATTCTGAATCGACAGAAGTCTCATACCAAAAATATGCCTTCCAATGTCTTTATCCCTATAACCTGTAGCCATAGGGTTCAATAACCAAAATCCTTTATAGGTTATTGATGTCTTCATGGTAGGATAAATATCTAGTCATAATACAACATTAACACTGGAGTTCAAAATATTTTTAAAAATTAGTATTAATGAATTATTAGGATCTCATAAGCAAGGGATGACTGTCAATATTCTGATATTCAATAAGAAAATTATGACAGAGCAGTGAAAGAACAATTAAATAATAATGAATTTAGATTAGATTTTGTTTCTCAAGAAATACTTACTTCTAATCTTTACGAATCTGTATAAAAACAAGAACAAAGGACCCCATTGATGGGTCCATCATGTAGAGTTTCAAAAGCATGCTATCGTATTGGACACACCCTTCAATTTTATGCAAAGACAGTGAAAGGCCAACATGAGCAACCCACCAGGACTACACTTGACAAGTGGAAAATAGCGTGATATGTATGGGATGCCATGGACCTTCGCCTGTTCCCTTCCCATCTCTCTGGAGAGTAGCAAAGCCCTCAGGAAGTTTATTCACTTGTAAACACACCTTATTTTTAACATCTTAGTCATATTCAGCTGAGTTATTACTGCTTATATTATTCCAATGACTCATTTCCTCTTGCAGCTTGCAAATATTAGACATTATCATATCCCATATCTGTCTCATTCCTTGTAACCCTGAGAGCTCTCATTTAGTTTATCCCAAACAAGAGTGAATAAAATGCAAGAAAAGAAAAAGTGGATTGCACAGGCTGTCTTTTTTATTTGAAGTCTCAGCACACTAGAAAGGTTCAGTTAGTGTTCACTGCAGAATGTAGATGGATGGCAGCAATAAAATCAGATATAGGAAAAAAGCAATCAAATCACTGAGTAGGTCACATTCCAAATACATTATATCAGGATAGGGGTCCTGCCTTAGGGCATATGTTCCCTTCCACAAAATGCTTCCAAAATATGTCTGTATTCTTCCCTTCAACCCATATATACTTGATTTGATACTGTATTTTAAATGGCATCCTATGCTCAGATTACTTTCTTATTTTTCCACGGAAATTGTATGTTTCTTTACATGCTTGGTATTCGCTATTCATAGTATATGATAGTGGTACTACCCAAGTCTTCTTTACTTGGCTAGTGGCTCGTTACCAATTACTCTGCCCAAGGTTATCCTCTTACTTGATATAAAATCTAAATACCAGATTCCTGGTACTGGTTTTATGAATAGTTGTTCTAAGATATATGCTTTCATTGATTAAAAATACAAATCATCCTTTAAAAGTTTGTATATTCTTCTAAGCTATGAGGGTTATCTTAGGTAACTTTTCTAGGGTAGAAGTTAGTACAACGCTAAATATTCTGTCTGTTGCAATCTATACATTGGAGCAAATTCTTGAACTAGAGAACCATGTCCCTAGTTAGGGGATGTAATGAGCACTACAATATGTATGTACTTAAAATAATAATGTCAAACATAGTTGCTTGCATGTGGCAAGTTAAGCATTGTTTTAAAAAGGAAAAATTATATGTGATTCTTGTGACTCAATATAGTTTTTCTCACCCTGGATAGTATTGTTTGTTTGGAGCTGAAAAAGTTTAGTGTGTCTCCTCTGTGAATTGTAGATATTTAGCAACATCCTTGTTATATTCAGCATTTTGCAAGGGAAATAGATTTAATACAGGATTCATAATTTATAGGATTATTTCATAATAGCCACCCAAAATCAAATGTAGAAGAATATAAGAGATCTAACCACACACAAGAGACCCAAAGAATCCAGCCAACTGTCTGGATCCCATAGCAATGTCCTGGACAAGTCCGGCTGAAAACCTATAGTCCAAGACAATGTCTTCCATGTATCCACCCAGTGGCCTAAAGCTCGTAGCAATGCTTCATGCTTTTCTGTTTGTATTAAGGATCTGCATTGGAAAGGCCCAAAGGTCAGTGGCGTAAGCCAGAAAACTTGCACCGGTGGGGTGGAGGTCTTGTGCCATTGCGCTGGGGGAATCTATACTGGAGCCAGGTAATGATGTTCACAGTGCAGATCAGAGCTCCTCTGATGATAACGGCAGCCATTCCAAGGGACAGTGAAGCCCCAAGCTCCTCCTCAGAGGAGAGCAACCAAGTTCTCATCAGAAAAACCATCCTCGGCAAGCTTCTCCTAGAAAATCAACAGCCCATGATCTTCCCCTCTGTTTCTCTTTTTATGCCATTGGCAACAATCCTCAGGTGGTTTTTCCACACCCAACCACACTGTTTCAGTTCAGCTGGGCATTTCAAGTTGACCAGTAGTTAATCTACCACAATCGCTCCCCCTGCCCTTGTGATGTTGAGAAGGATTCCAACCCTGTGACAAACTGTCTCCAAACATTGCCAAATGTTCTGGAGTGAAGGGCAAATTGCTCCCAGGGCTCTGGGTCATGCTCAGTGTACTATGCCCACTTTGCTTCTAGTACCTGTAAGCTAAGAAGGTAGAGAAGCCCATTGAGCAAACTATAATACATTGTAAAACAATTTGCTGAATGTCAAGGCTACAGTTCACCACAGGATGGAGATTAGCAGCTCGATCTTCCAACTTGCTCCACAGTGATGATGACTTCACAAGACTTCACAAGAGTGATTTCTGCCAAATATCATGCCTTTTGTAGCTGAAGGTGAGAAGACATGTTGGGTAAGATACCGTCAACCCTAAACAGAGAGGCTCATAGGATCCCATCCCTAAAGGTGAGGTGAGGAACTTCTACCGTGCACCTTTCTGATTTATCTAGAATTGGGACAATCTCCATATGAGCGTATCTCTAATAGGCTACCCGAACCAGTTATAGAATTCGAGGGTAATGGTTGTCCAACTGTGTCTAGAAAAATACCTCTTTTCCCAGTTCTAGATTTAAAAAAAATGGTCACACAGACTCTCTTATAGATGGCAGTGTGACTGTATTTTCCTCCCTTACTTGTTATATCTGCGTACATCAAGCCTTGAGTTACGAAACATTGGCTGGGCAGGGGTTGGAGTTGGTAGGGAGCCATGGGCTGCAACCTCTGTTTATGACACATGTCATATTTCACGGACCACGTCTGGACCCCACCTGCCTCCTTAATCTCCTTGGAATGCTGCGGTCCCCCCACTAGCTGCATGCTACTCTGATGACTTCAGTGGGCACTGTAGTGTCCAATTTCCTAACCTTTCTATTAAAATTAATATTTAGATTTTATAACTTTAAAAGTGGAAGAATGATGGAGACAGTATTTGATGTTTATGTCTCTCAGTCACGAAAATGCTCCCAATTTCACTCAATGCCGGGCCACACACATGTAGTCACAATAAATAGCATTTAACATGTTTACAGTATGCTGAGGATGAGGAGAACTTCTGTTTTTATATTGATGGACTCAGCTGGACTGGGGATACTATTGTTTACAATGAGCTACATTTTTTGTTGTTCTGATTTACCCTCAAATTAAATCTTTATTTCAGAAACCAACCCCAGGGAGCCTCTGTAACGAGGGAATGTAATAAACAGCATTAGGAAAGGGCCCGTAGTTGCTGCTCTCTGGTAATTAGTCCAAATGTCTCAATCAGAGTGGTTTTCAAAGTTTTATGGCTGCAGTTTGGTCACAGGTTTATTTGTAAAAAGCTGGTTTGCCATTTTGTTCAGCCTGGCCTTTGCCCTTCGGGGATTGGAGTTGGGGGTTCTGCGATGTGGAATGGGACAGGAAAATCAGACTTGCAGTTTCCTGGAGGCCCTGCCCATGTTTCTTGTTACCATCTGTTTCTAAATTTAAAATTATCTGAATTTAAAGGAACCGGGAAGGAAAAAATACATATCTGGCCTTTATTTTGAGGACATGCAAAGGAAGTGTAGGGATTGAGGCAGGACCGAATATGGGGGAGTGTTGTTCCCAGCAAGAGGTTGAGGTGAGAGGGTCCCCCTATAACCCTTGGCCACAGAGAAGAGGTTATTAGCTGGGCATGGCTGGGCGACACTGGAGTCCCCTGGGACACCAACCCCCAGCTTGGTGGGAAGAGGGAAGCCTGAGCCTTAGTGACACCCATAGCCTGATGTTCCCTGGGGACATATATGGTGCTTAGACCTCTGTGTGCCTGGAGAAGGCTGTGCCATTGAGAGACCAGAGGGCCCCTTGGGGAAGGGTCAGCTCTGGCTACACTCTCAGGTCGCCTTCAGCAGCAAAACAGGGAAGGTAGCTAGGCGCTAGGTGATAGTCAGAGGCCACTCCTAGATTTACAGATATTCCTGTCCTAACTCTCTCCGTAATGTTAGTCATTCAGTATTAACTGAGCACTGAATATGAACATATTCTGCCATCTTTTTTCTTTTCTATTTTATGATGATGATGATGATGATTATTAATAGTAGTAGTAGTAGTATGGGGATTGATCTCAGAGCCTTCACACTAAGGTATCTTCCAGCCTGCCTTTTTAATTTTGAGATAGGGTCTCACTAAGTTGCTAAGTTGCCCAGACTGGGCTGGAATCATCCTGCCTCAGCCTCCCAGACTGCTGCGATTATAGGCATATGCCAACACATCCAGCTCAACTGTCTTATTTTTAAGCCAAATAGCTAGACGGGATCTGGACAGGTAGGAAGCTCTTCAGAGACAATGGATCAACACTTTACTTCAGAAGTCCCAGAATGCCAGCTGTGTGGATCCCAGACCTTTCTGCTAGGTGAGGAGGCATCATTCCTCCCGAGACAAAAGAAGGACAGAAGGAGTGGGCAGGGGAAGGGGTTCTGCTAGTGTGTCTATCCTCACTCATGTAGCCATCTTGTTTATTTTTTAATTTTATTTTATATGTTTTTAGCCCTTGTGATCGAACTCTGGGCCTTGCACATACTGGTAGATCCTCTATCACTGAGCTACATCTTCAGCCCTTATTTTTTTAAAAGTAACATTTGTGTGAGACTTCTCAGCTATGCAGTTTAAGGAATCATCAATCACTGAGCCCAAGGGACTCCATAAAGAGCCAGACAGGAAATGGTGTAGGCTCTGTGAGCCTCCTAGTCTCTGTCACAACTATGGCCATAGTGCGAAAGCAGCCATAGACCTTCTATGATACAATGGGCTTGGCTGTGTTGAGATAAAGCTTTATTTAAATACCAATTGGTAAGTAGGTGTTATGATTTGTGTCTAGATGTTCCCTCAAAATCTCTTATGGTCATGGGGGGTGCTATTTCAGAGGTGGCTGGATCTAGAGTGTGTGATTCTGGGATTAAGGATGTGTGAATACTAAATTAGTCCACTGATTAGTTTGGCATAGTTTGGGTAGGATTAAGGGTTCCCCAGCCTGGCTAGTGGGTCTGCCCTAAGGATGTATAACCTAGATAAAAATATAAGGTGTAGAAAAAGGGCTAATGTGGTTTGTCACTTGTTTGCTACCTGCTTCCTCCTGCCTGACATGAATTGTTTTTCCTCTGCAATGCTCATCTGCTATACCACCTGCCTTGGAGTAAGATGACTGTGGACTGAAACCTCTACAAACTGTGAATCAAATAAACCTCTCCTCCCTTAACTTTGAGTGTTGGATATTTTGTCTCAGCAATGAAGAAAATAACGAAGACGGCAGTATTTCAACTATAGTTTGATCACCCCTTATTCAAGCATTTATCCCACATTTTGTGTTTTCTTTGATTCTCCTCCCTTTTCTCCATGCCCTCCATCATTCTTCCTTTGGAGTTATGGTATACATAGTGAGAGGCAAGAGAAGAGAATAATGAACAAAACAGGCATGATCTTACCCTGCATGAAGTCCCAAATAAGGGATTCTAATGAGTAAACCAATCACCAGTAAAAATATTTGGTAAATGATACCAGCCACATAATGCTATCCCCATTTCTTTCTCACTATTAGGGTCCCCATTTTATTCAGAATGATAATGTCCCAGATTAGTTTTAATCACCTTTGCTTCTCTTGCAGAGAGTTGGTCATGGAACAAATCTTTGGCCAAGGAGTCATAGGCAGAAGGGATTAGACCCAGCATCCTTTCCCAAATGTAAAAGAAAGCCCTTTCTCCTCTTTAACTTGTGGCTTTTCCACTTTCTCTCCACCTGGAATGCTACTACAGTTCCTGAAAATACAGCAGCTTTCATGTGAACATGCTGATAAAAGCCATCTGTACTAAAAATAGAAGCAAAAAGAAAGAAGTTTGGTCCCCAGATGATATTTATTGCAGATTCTAGATACCAGCCCTAGACTACTAACCATTGGCCTTCTTATTACAGCAACAAACTTCCCATTGTTTAAGTTAATGTAATAGGCTTTTTCTGTTACATGTAACTCACAGAACTAATAATGCGCTAAATCATTGACAGTACCAGAATGACAGGGGTTTAGGTTATGAATTTGTGCACAATAAATACTTGCAAAGTCTGAAAATTAAAGTCAGTGCAACTACTATAGGATTGTTAAGGTGTGGTCTGTTTCAGTATCTCAATCAGTAACAACACTCTCTGAGGCCACCAGGCAAAAGTGTAGCACTTACTTGTAGTCTTAGAACCGTTTAAAGAATTATTTATGGTGCCTGAATTGCTTAGTAAGCCTGGGAAAAGAGTACAATAAATTTAGATGGGAAGTTAAAATGAAAACAGGTCTTGACTTACTTCTAGAAACTTTTTTGCAAGAAGTTTCATTCTTCTCATAAGCAGAGGAACCCAGACCATTGAATTATAAATTGTTAGTCTAAATTAGGGTTAAAACAGGGTTACTGCCTTCACTGTGTCTTTTGAAAATCAGATAAGTGACTTTGTGTGTGTGCTTGCATGTGTGTGTGTGTGTGTGTGTGTGTGTGTGTATCTGCACATAATTGCACACTTTAGGAAATAAAGGTTATCATGGGGCCACAATGGGAGGTTACCTTCCCATTGAACAGCTTGAGAAATGCTGTTTATCACTTCCAAATAAAGACCCGAATCATCCTTTAAACCTTTGGCTGGAGCCTCCATTAGGGATGAGTGAGAGAAAACCTACAAGCAGTCTGTTTGCCCACTTGAAGAGCTGTTGGCATAATACTGTTTTTAGAACTTAAGCACACAACTTACAACACAGAAAAAGAGAGGTATCTTGGTTTATTTGGGCTCCTATTACAAAACGTTATAAAGTGAGTGGCTTATAATCAACATAAACTTATTTCTCACAGCTCTGGGGCCTGGAAGTCCAAGATCAAGGTACCAGTAGGTTTCTTGTCTGGTGAGGACCTACTTGCTGGTTTACAGATGTCCTTTTTCCTACTGTGTCTTCAGATGGCAGAAGGCAGGAGAGTTCTCTGGAGTCTCCTCTACAAGGGTGTTGAGCCATGTGTGGAAACAGAGTAATCAGGACCTCATGATCTCACAAAGGCCCCTCCCTCTTATACATCACATTGGGGATTAGGATGACAGCACAGGAATTTGGAGGCTGCACAGTTATTTAGGCCATAGCAAAAGCGACCTGATATAGAGGTTGGCAAATTGGGGAAATTGACTAGAAGATTGCCAAAAGAGTTTAGGTAAAATAATTCTTTAGGAAAGAAGGAGAGTGTCACTATGTGTCCTTTTGATCTAAGCCACAATGATGGCACTGGGTAAATACTCTCACTGTGGCTTCCTTTTGGATACTGAATTAAATGAGCATTTAGAAATTAGAGCTACGTCTCGAATGCTTAAGATTCACCTGCTCTTTAGCCCAGAACCCGTACATTTTGTGGTTAGTAACCCCTAGGTATCTCAGCTGTCTTCTGTCCCCTTGATCTCTTCTACTTTCTTTCATACTTTAAGGACATACAGAATGCACCATTGCTACTGAGCATTGCCAGGAAGCGTTTTATTTGTTGCAAGGAATTGTGGCATGGTAGCACCTAGACTGTGTTCCCAGGCTTTCTAGGAAATTTCTCTGCACTTTGCTTTTTGGTCAGCATTTTGGAGGGAAAGACAATTGATCCTTTCAGCTTTGCTGATGCAATTCTTTTTGATGTGTATCCAGTGTATTTTGACATGATCCCTTGAGTCATTGTGGTTTTCAATATTCTTGGACCTATAATGAAAGTCAAAGGGAAGGGAATCTTTGCACTTAATGTTGATTTCTAATATTGATGGTGCATTATCCCGTTTGTGTTTCAGAAGCTACAAAGGAGAAAATTAACCCCTTGGGTCTCAGATTAGGTACCTGTCTTATGGGACTGTGGCTGACAGAAGCTGATGCTGATACTGGAGACAAAAGAATCTGAGGAACTCATCATTTTTATGCAGGTAACAGTTTTTTATCATTATCAATTTTATGGTAAATGCAACAGCTGCAGCAGAATTTGTAGGGTTTTTTGTGTGTGTCTGTGTGTGTGTGTTTGTAAGGCATCTTAGAGAGTGTTTGCCAATTTTCTGTCTCAAAAAAGGTGTCTTCACATCTTGATTTAGCCCTGAATAATTCAACAGAATCTCTAATAACAGACTTGCATGTTGCAAGGCCCCAAAACATGTTGTAAGCTTAAAGAGGCAGCAAGAAATTTAGCATCACAAACACAAGTCAAAGAATCAGATCCAGGAGGTCTTTAAAGGGTAGGACTCAGTGCTTCACACTTGTGCTGGGTGCTTATTTTTGCTAACAGTTTCCTTGTTTTCTGTAGCGCAATGGGTCCTGAAAGGGACAAAGATCATTCCTGGAGGTTAGCTATTGTTCTTAAATCCCTTTTTATGAGAATTCCCTTTTTATTTGCCCCTCTCTCCCTCCCTCTCTATCTCCCTTCCTCTTATTGAGTGCCTACAAATTTCCGCCAATTGTGTTAGGTCTTAAGGTTTTGATGATCCCTAAAAACAAACTTAGACCCTTATTTAGACTAGAATTTAATCTTACTTTGTCTTACAAAAGCCAGATAGCTCTGCTATTTCCTTGGTTTCTGAACTACAACATTGTTTCTGCAACAGTCTACAACAGTGTTCCTCCTCTCTCTCTCTCTCTCTCTCTCTCTCTCTCTCTCTCTCTCTCTCTCTCCCTCTCCCTCTCCCTCTCTCTCTGCGTGTGTGTGTATCCAAGGCCTCATGTATGGCAGGCAAACATTTTACCATTGAGTTACATTTCCAGACCCCATGTTTCCTTGATCTTCTTTGAGTAGCTATTGTTACTTCGTGATTTTCCACCAAAATCATGATGAATTTCTTGAAAACTCCCTCTAGGGGTACATAGAAAGGAACTGGAGAGGCTTGGTTTTCAGTGATTATAACTTTGAAATATATCTTTGTATATTTGCTTCATATGTTTAAACTGGTTGTTATTAGCAAAATTATGCTAACTTTAAATCTTCCCAAGGGCAAATCTAAGATGAAATGGAAAATATATTTTAGTTCAAAATAATCATAACTTTTTCATCAGTTAGGGAAAGAGAATTTTTCCTGACACTGAGGTGCTTGATCAGATTTGGGTTTATATATTTTTCTATATATACAGATCATAGTTTTTCAATTTCATCAAGATTGATGTGGAGGGATCATTTTTTGTTGCAGAGAGCCATTCTGTACATTGTAGCATGCTTAGCCTCAGCTCTGGCCCTTACCCAATAGGTGTCAATACCAATGTTTCACCAACCCCACTGTGACAATCAAAAACATCTCTAGTCTTTGCCAAATGTCTCTTGGATGGAGTATTACTACCCTCCCCTGAGAACCACCGGATATATATTTACATATTAACCCACCTGCACCTTGGTTCATCGAAGTAGAAATAGGATTCTAAATTAAAGTCCACAGATTCCTTGACAAACCACAAAGATTTTTTGGATGTAGGGGCTTCTCGACACTAACATTATTGGTTATAGTGGACAGAATTGTAGATGGGAAAGGAGGAAACCCTACCTCAGTTAGAGGGTGGGACTCCATGGTCTATAAGCTCCCTGCTTCCAACTCACATATTTTATAGTTCCATAGACCAGATTTAGGTTAATAAAATCAGTGTCAGCTTCTTAGGGAATATAACAAATGTCAGTTATGACAGTGGGCCCCACAGTGCTCTTCAAGATATTATGCAAAGTTATGGGATGAGGTGAGTGGGAAAGGTTGTTTGGGGTTTAATTGGCAAACAAAAATCTGCTTCCTAGATGCAAGACATGTCAGCATAAAAGCACACCTAGGACCTTACTTTCTCTGGCTGAAGTTATTAATATGTGTTGATTGATGTCAAAATGGGAATTAAATCATAAATGCGCTTTGGCGCCTCGGGCCAGTGGCTTGGCAGCTTCTTTAGCCCTGTCACTTTGGAGAGACAGCTCACGTGACTCTGCCTCATTTTTTTGATGATTTCTTAAAGATTTCACTTTATCATCATTTGTCTGTGAGTAGGCTTTGCTTCCCATCCTATTAGTAGTGTTTCTGCATTGGCACACTCAGAGCAAGGTTGTTATCTAAAAAGGAGGCCCAGGATGGGTTTCATATTTGAGCAAAACAATGGGGTCATACACTTTATTAGCAAAACAAAATAAAATGTTCCCAATTAGTGTTATTTACAGACATATAACACCGTCGCTGCTGACTGGGGGCGGGTGTGATCCTTTCCCATGGGAGTCCCAAAATTCCTAGCATCTGCTCACAGGCACTAAACAAAACATGGTCTTTCTCATTTCCAAGTTAATCCAATTTGAGTGTAGACTGAGAGGGACCAGAGCTTCCCAAATAGCCTGGCAGAATGGCACACCTAGACTCAGTATCATTACCAGACCACACAGTAGGTTTAATAGCCAGATTTCATGCAGTGGGCCAGAAAGGAGAAAAATCCATGTATGTAAAATTCTTCAAAAGCAGCCACCCTCTTCCTGGACCCTCAGGAACCTTCATCCCAAGTCCTTCATCTCTCACCTGAAGGTGGCACTGACTCTGGCTTCCAGTGGCTTCTTCCAGTCCTCTTTCTGCAGCACTGGTGAAATCCCCTCCACAAACCCCCAAAGGACCATGTAACTTCCTCTCTTAAAATCTATCTTGTTTCTTCTGTGTTTAAAAGATAAAATTCCAATCCAACCTATTGGAATAAACTATCCTTCATTAAATCATCACATCCCTCCTTCAGGCTCACCTGTGCCATTTGAACCACCTGGTCCTCAAGCAATAGCAGTCTGTGGGTAGATTTTTGTCATGTGCCATACCTTCTAAAAATGATGACATTATTTCTTGTGTGGCCCATCTCAGATGGCCTCTTTCCACTGAGGGCGTATTCCTGTTCCTGGTTAAAACATGTTTTTCATTTTCCAGAGGTCCCTCGACAAATACACCCAACTCATAAGATATTGCTGTTTTATCTATTTACATATTTGTTTATCTGTAGAGCATAGCCCCATCAATACCCAAAAATGTCATAGCTGCTCATTAAAGTGCATCAGAGTGAATGAATGACTACATAATTGAATGTAAGTGTGAATAAACAAGCAAATTTTGCTTGTTTACAAATTATTTCTTAAAATAAATTTCCAAGAGTCATTACAGCATAGAGTAGTGAGAGCCCAGACTCTGAACCAAACCTTAGTGTCTCCACTTACTGGCTTACTAACTTGCCCTCCCGCTGCTTCTCCTGCCTTATTTACACGTGGGAGTAATGATAATACTGTTTCTGAGGGTTATTATGGGAATGAACTGCATCAATATATTTAAAAGTACTGGAATCCGGCCCATAATGTTAGCATTACCAAGTCTTCCCCGACTTGCTGTAATGTGGAGGTTCTTTGCCCTACACAATGGAGTCACCAAGAATGACAGGAACAATGGAACAGAATACAGATCTTGGGGCCCCGATTCAGGCCAACTAAATGAGACTCTCTGGGAGTGGGGCCCAAGCGTGAAGTCACTATTAGAAATCCCAAATGAAGCCACTTGAATAAAGCATTTGTTTAGAGAGGAGAGAACTGGGCAAAAGATTTTCACAGCAAGGTGGCGCAGCATGCAAAGGGTAGGGGCGACAAGGACCCATCAGCAATGTGGAGCAGAGGTACAAGTAGTTTCACTTGAGCCTAGAGTGGACAGGCAGCCCAAGGGAACTGTGGTCACATGTGAGGCACTCGGTCTCTAGCAGAGACGTGGCACTGAGTCAGGAACTACCAACTTCTTCCTCTGCCTTTCAACTTCTGCTTCCCTGGAAGAATCCAGCCAAAATCCGCGGGCAAGATGGCCGAGAGACCCAAATTCCCAGGATCAGCTTCTAAGAAGTCCCAGAAGAGGAGGAGAAGGCCATGGAGAGGCTTGAGGGTCACGAAGAGGAAAAACTAGCACTTCAGCATTAGCAAAAATAGTCTAGGTGCCTCTGATGCAGTGTAAAGACTGCCTTGGTAGAACCCCCAGATCAGATCTTGCTTCAATCCCTCCTGCAGCCAGGCAAGACAGCCAACCAAGCCAGGAGGCACACAGCTACCTTTCCCCATCTGGGTTTCTCTGGAGGTGCTTCCCGTGACAGCAATGTCAGTACCTCTGCTAGGACTCCAGGCTCTGGGGGGATGATGGCCAGGAAGTACCCGGGCCATCGTAGGTGCCTGGTCAGACAGTTTGATGCCCTATGGTTCAATATCTTTCATTCTGGCAACCTGAGGGCTGGGAAACCGGGAGTCTCTGTCAGTGGAAGTTGTAATGTACCTCTTCTGGCTTGGGAAGAATGCTTACAGCTTTTGCTTTTTTATTTGGACCCCAGCAAACATGCCAGAAGAGACACCAGAAACCTCCCCATATGTCAGATCATGTGACTCTGCCTCATTTGCATAACACCATGGTGGAATCTGAGGGCGGAAGGGTGTACCGTGTCCCCCATAAAGCCTTCTGCTTGCCTTTAACCCACCAGCTTGCTTTCCCATCCACTGTGTCGGCACATGTAAGAAGACTTCATTTCTGCTGCTTCCTTTCCAAAAGGGGGAAGATATAAATCACAGGCGCAGAAGTAACTAGCAGTTGTGACATTTTGTTACAGAGTTTAATTACATGAATCATAAAATATTGCTACAATTTTCCAAACTGTTAAACCTTAATTAATATGAACCCACAGGGACCACCTTGATGGGTCTAAATATTCTGAATCACAACTCCGACAGTAGTGCTTCCATTTGCCTGAAGTGCTTTGTAATTTGCAAAACGTGATTAATTATTAGAAATGAAACCAGACAAATTAATTTAATATAAATGAGGCTGTACATGGTTTGATGAATTCTTTTTAATTACGTATATGTTATTTTTTCAATAGTTGAACAAAGGACCCTATTCTTCTCCTGTGTGTTCATATTCATTAATCTCATTAGCAGAGTATTAATATAATTTTATCGCACATTCCAGAAGTACAGCACATTGACAAACCATAATGAATCGCGGCATTTGTGTCCTATCACTACATTAATTTCAAGACATGCCTGGCTCATCTGTAATTTACTTTAAGACTTAGCCGAAAATGAGCTGAATAAGCGTGTAATTATGACATCTGCTTCTTTTCAGGTACCTCTTTGTAAATCAGTGACAAAGGAATAGCAGGCTTAAATATGTGTTAACACTTGGATAGCATGTATAATTGCAATATGGCCATGTGTAATGAAGATTAAATTAGACTGTACTATACCTGACATGTGCACGAACATAATTGACCAACTCATTGTTACAATAGAAGCAACTGTAAAATATCAATATTTAAATTGATGGAAATGAAACTAAGAAAAGAAGATGCCATGGATAGTGGTCAACAAGTCACCAAGAAGACCCTATCAAGACAGAATGCCCAGATTCTAGATTTTCAACCTCTCCTTTCCTTGTGTCTGATGACAGTTGCTCATGAATTTCATGACATTTTCCAAAAGAGTCCAGTTCGGATGTCATGGGGGCACAACCTCACGCTGCATATCTTGTGTGCTCAGCACTTTTGCCCAGGGCGCTGAGGTGGGCACCATGCCCAAAGTTCCCATCAGGCACCTCAGGCAGGGAATTAGAATTTGGTGATTGAAATCCAAAGATGCCACATGATTAACCCCAGATTTTTCTGAGCAAGAATCCTAGAAAGTCAAATGATCCTGGGAAACAGGGCAGCTCTGGAATTAGCTCCGAGGGAAAAATTAGAAGGAAAAGATTTCATAAGCTGAAGTCATCTGACGCCCATGCAGAATTGGAATAAAGAAGAAAACAATGTGTATCTTCTATCATCATTCTTCCCCTATTTTCCTGAAAATGAACTCTCATGTCATCCTTTAGGATTTATCTAATTTTGACTAGGATTTCTCACATGCCAAATCTGCCAAACATCCTGGGTATTCCAGGGCAAAATGGTGGCCCCACTTAGCTGTACAGATGGTCTCTCTCTCTCTTCTGGAAGCCCCTAAGTATTTGCCTGCAGAGCTTGACAAGAGCCAAAGAATATTGCTTTTGAGTTTAACAAATTCACCAAAGGAATTTGGGGCTATATCTCAAAACAATTTAAGGAGTTGCCTTACTTAATGAAACCCCCATGCCAGCCTTTTTAAGTTGATTGTAAGGACACGTGAAAAGGATCTAAAAAGATGAAAAGAACCCAACTGCACTGGAAGATGCTCCTGGTGAAATTCTGACAGAGGGATGTGGTACAGAGCTGACAAAAGGAGGTGGGGAGTGTTGTTTATATGGGTCAGGGTGTTCAGATTTTCTAAAGTAATCTTTTTGAAGCTGGGATTGACTTATTTAACACTTAAAGATACCTTCTTGGAGATAATCAGATATCTAGAATGTCATTTTGATGGAGCTATTAAAAGTCAGACTTTGAAAGAAATTTAAAGAGCTTCTCTTTGTGTGTTGCTCAAAGTATGATTTCAGAAGTCAGAATTGTTTGATCACCTGAGCAATCTGATGAAAAATAAATTCCCCAGATCCTACTCTGGAGCTCAGAAATCATAAACTCCAGCAGTGCTATTGGGGAATCTGCATGACTGACTAAATAAATAATAAAATAAAATAAAAAACCTCCTAGTGGTTCTTAGTATACAACCCCTGACCTTCATATTTTACAGAGGATCAATCAAAGAGTTTGAGAAAGGAAAGGTACAGGACAGAGCTAGGACTAGAACTCCTGGCAGTCCCTTTCCTGGACTTCTGGTCCTCAGTTCCCTAATATTGGGAGTGTTCATGGGACATCAAAGACAAGGGCTGAATCTTTGTGATTGGCTCTCGACAGCATCATTTGGTCACCTGAGTTGGTGCTTCACCGTCTTTGGTAAGTGGATGACATAATGTTAATTTTCCCTGTGCACTAAGGGATGTAAGCATCTCCTAAACTCAGTCTTTCAGACAAGCAGCACTGTACCTAGATCAGTGGAAAGAATAGTCACAGCGTTGCCAGCTACTTAAGCTCATTTGTCCCAAATCATCATCTCCTTGGTGGGCGAGCATCTTTTCTAGTAAGGAACAGAGGAGAGGGGCGGGCAGAGACAATGTAGATATCTAACTTGTTTTATCATTGCCAGCCATTTTCAGCTCTTCTTTTCTTTCTTGCAGAAAACAAACCATCCCGGGGCTGGCATCGCCATGTCCTGTCACTTTTTTTTAGGCTGAAGGATGGTGGGGGAAGCTGTTTATATCTTAAGCTCAGGAAGCCACTTGTCTAAAAGGGGGAAAATGTTTCACTTTTTAGTGCTGGTTACAACGGGAGATCTTTCTGCACAGTTTTGGAACAGTAAAGAAAAACATGACTTTCCACTTGCATTGAGTAGTTTTTCACTGTCAGTCTTTGTTCATTTGTTTATTTTTCTCCCACCTGTCCATTCATTTTCCAACCCTTTCCAAATCCTCCTCTATGCCAAGTGCCATATTGTACTAAGCATTAAAATTACAACGAGAATGATAGAAATAGATTTGGTCCTCTACGGGAGTCACTTACATATGACCTATATGGCTCTCTGAGGCGATGTGAAATAAAACAAGCATACTGGATGGGCTGTTTCCCTTCTCTTAGAAGCCCACTAGCAGGTGAGCATCTAGACTCAAGAGTGTATGAAGGATTCTTTCAGGATGCGCATTCTTTCTCTGCCCTTCTGTTGTCCCTCTTCTTCCTAAAGGGCAGTTCACTTGTGCAGGAGTGAGTGAGAAGTCAGTGCATAAGATCATTTTGAATAATTGATCCATGCTTTCTACATTCTGGCCACTTCTGCCTGTCAATTCTACATGAAGTTCCCATGCCAGCATTTCCCTGCTTGCTTCCTGAGATGGAGAAGGTTCCTTTCATCTGCTTTTAGTTTCTCCCACCATTTCTTTACCGCTTACTGATGTGATTACTGGTTTAACAAATGCTTGCTGCTTACTGTTTATACAGTAAGTAATGGCAAACTTAGTACAACATTCAATGAGTGGATTTCATTTCTCATTTAAACTTATTGTTGAAAGAAACCCTGTCTTGGCTCTCGCTCCTTAGTGACTGAAATGAAGCAAGCAAGCCAGCTAGTATCTGCATGCAGAGGGGGTGAGCTGAATGAGACAGACTATCTCAACTAGGATTGGCTCAGCTCTGATATGGTGACACATAATACAAGAATCCCAGTGACAGACTACAGTAAAGACTCCATTCCACATGGCCAGAGAAGGTCAATTTATGCAAGCTGCTGTTGCCATCCAGAGAGTCTGAGTAACTTCTTAAGGATTTGGAAGCATAAATTAAAGCCTCTGTCTGGAGGTGCAGCAACAGTTGTAGGGAATGTTCTTAGATTGTACAAGGCCCTGGACTCAATCCCTGGGTTAAAAACTAACCAACGTCACCAAGAACAGAAACAACCCCAGCCCCTATTCAGATATGGCCCATGTCAATCCTACTCACAACTCATGGTCCAGAGCTAGTCCTATGGCTTCACTCTTCTGAGAGGCCAGAAAGCACAGCCTTCCACAAATCTGGGATAAAGAAGATACGGAAGATTAGGCAAGTGACACTACTGACATGCACTGAGAGTGATCAGAGATTAATCATCCGCATTGAACTTTCAAATCTGCTTGCCAGCATCAGTTCCAATCTGAGTAAAACATGTTGCTTCAATCTGAATTTCTTTGCTGAAAATTAAACATCTTATCTGTCCACAGAAACTTTCTCTGAGCACTTATTCTCTGTCCATAAATGAAAATGGAGTTTGTTGAAAAATATGAATTAGAGTCAGCTGAGCGTCCACCTGGCCTGAAATCATCTTCTCTTGTGTATGGCAGAGAAAGGAGGGGCTGGACTTTGGTTTTGGATACTTCTTCTAAGACTAGCTGCAAATCAGCAGGACAAATAATATGATAGTGACTTTAAGGTGAAGATGAGTGGGGGTTTGTGCTCTTTGGAAAGTTCTTTGAAACCATGAGATTCTTTAAACAAGTCACCTCCTGACAGAGGGAGCTATTTCTGCCCAGAAGAGGGAAGGTTAATGTTTTTCATAATAATGGGTTTCACCCTCATGCCACAGATGAAGCCTTCTGCAATTGTTTTCTCTCTCTCTCCTCTGGGCTTGCCTAGCTATCTAAAAGTCACAGCAGTGGGAGGGAGCCAGTGGGAAGTCACCATGACATTCCAAGCCAGAGCTGCTGGCCTGGGCTTCTGTGCACAGAAAGGTCTATGATATGGCTCTAGAAGATGTCTTTCTGTACATAGATAGTCTTCATCTTTAAAACTCCTGACAAGCCTGTGTGATCAGAATGCAAAAGCAAATGCTGCATCTCAGATACTGCTGTCCAGGACTATAATTTTATGTAAGGACTTTGGAAAACCATAGCGACATATACTATGGCCAAGCATATGCTTTATTTGTAATTCCATTCCTAGATATATGTTCAGTATATTGAATATACATGCTCTACCAAAAATTTATTCAAGGTTAAAAGGTTCATAGCAATACTAGTAGACACAGATGCCCCCATCTAGAAAGAAAGGATATGAAATCAACAATTGAATGAATAAGATATGGTACATTTATATAATATAATGCTGTGTCATAATGAAAATATTGAACAAGTTCAAGGTGAGTTTTCAGATATAATGTAAAATGAAATAAGCCAAACAAACAAGCAGGAGTACCTATAGTATTAGTGCACTGACATAAAATACAAACAAGGCAACACTGATCTGTAGTGATGGAGGGGCTGGAGATTTAGCTCAGCAGTTCCACCACCTGCATTGCAAGGGCAAGGACCTGAGTTTGATCCCCGGTACAAAAAGAAAAGTTCTTATAGTGATGGAGTTAAGAATAGTAGCATCTCTGGTGAGAAACAGGGGCAGGTAGGAGACTTTGGGGGTAACAAGATGTTCTCTGACTCTACCTGGATAGTAATGATGGGAATATAAAAAGCACACAGATAGAAGAATTTACTGTATATATGTTATCCTTCAATTAAAAAGTGCAAAATTAAAATACCTGTGCTGGTTTACCTAAATAACCCACTAGCTTAATCCCTGCAGACCAGGCAAACACACAATGATGCATGTGTTTGTGTGTTTAAGTGTGTGCATGCGCATATTCACAATCAGCTATGTGATCTGGAAATTTAGTAGCTTAATCAGTAAGCTACTTGCTCAGTCTGTCTGGAGAAGTAGCATGGGGCTGAAAGTTGGAGGTTGTCTCCTCCCCTGGGAACAGCCTAGAACAGGGAACAGAATGGAGAGAGGGAAGAGCAAGTGAAGAATTCTGAGATGGAGGGAGCACGGGGTACACGAAGATCAGTAAATGGGCTGTGGTTGGGGAGAAGCAGCTGGGATCATTTGAGGTTGAAGGAGTAACAGGATATGCAGTGCCAGTCTGGTAAGCTAAGAGAAGAAGCTTGCTTTTATTCTGAGTCCGTCCACAGACAGTCAAAGGTTTTTAAGATAGAAACTAGTGTTTTAAAAACAATACCCTGCCTCAGTGAGTTGCTTTAATATATTATCTCTGTTACAGTTTAGACTCCTGTGCCCTTAAATTGGTGGAAAAAGAATTTTGTTGGTGGAGAGAACTGATTTTGCATTTTAAAAAATAACCTGCAGGAAAAGGGAAATGCGTGTATTACCTGGCCAACTGGGGTGCACTTAGAGACAAGGTTTCCCTTAGGCTTCTGAAAAGGGAGCAGGGAGACCTGGAAGTTGGTAAGATGCTAGGAAGTGACCAGTGAAAAAGATGTGGTAGTTTAGGGAAAATTAGCAACTTCATGAATGAAAATGCTTAACATTCCATACAAAGTGTGATTATTGTGATATACCTACTCCTCTCCCATCCTCAGAAATTCAGGGAAGGCTGTTCTCATAAATATTTTGGTGATTTAGATGTTTGTGGATTTAAGAGGCTCCAATTCATGTTGGAATGAAGTGGTCCAGACTAGAGTAAAACACATGGAAAAAGAAGTGCCAGTAGGCAGCACGGCCCCAGTGCTTTCAATGAGTCTGTGATATCATCTGCAATATAGACTTCAGTCTCGGAGAGGGCATGGGATAGAAGACACAGCCATATGATTTCAACTTCCAGAGTCAAAAATCCCATGCCACATCCAATCTTATTTCATACCAGTCAAATTAATAAGAAATGCATTTCTCAACCTAGCAGACAACTTCTTGGTGTACAGTGGAGGTTAGGCCAGCTGAGAGGTCAGAAGAAGTAGCTTCTAGTGCCTCTGCCCAGTGCCAGAATTCCTGGGCAGTCAATCTTTACTCAGTAAGAACTATGTCACTCAAGCCAGGTTGAGGCTGAATGCCTGTGTGCCTCTGAATCAGTGTCTCCACAGGCCTCAGGACACACAGGAAGCTTGTGGCTTTCACAGCTTTCTTCTTTCTGCTTTCAAACTGTTACCTCCTTCTATTTACTAGAGTTTTATTTCTGTAGGTAGCATATAGTGCACTCAAGAGGATGTTCATATTTTACATTTATAAAATGCACATAAAGACATCATGATATCATACTTTTACAAAAGTTTAATCACATTTTGTTGCCCAAAGATTATATCTAGTTGACAGATTGGAGTCCCTGTGGTCTGACATTTCCTCTTCCATTTAGAGATGATAGAGGGTGGTGGTGAGAAGCCCAGACTCTGCAGCCAGTCTGCCTGGGCTCAGAGCCCACTCCCTGTCAGCTGAGTGACCCTGGCCAATTCCAGCACCGTGCCCTGCCTCGGTGTTCACATCCGAGACAGGGGAATCACTGTGAAAGCTATCTCAGAAGGTTTCTGCAATGATTAAATCACAATGTATTTGTTTATTGACATATACATATTCTAAATGATTTCATATGTGATATATACTATAAAATTTATATAATAAAGTACAATAGATATAAAATTAAGAGTTACCTCATAAGATTTTTGTAAAGATTAAATGAATACACTGTATACAGACCATATATAATATATATATACACATATATACTGTACATATACTATATATTCTGAATAATATATATATATTCATTCATATATCTTTTTCCTAAGTGGTTATACATGTTGTATGTCTATGGGTTACAGCATATGTAATTACTCAGTGTATATATGAATCATACATATATGTTTTACACATGTGCATACACACATATCACTTAGATGGTAGCCTGGGCAAAAGTGTTTTGTAAGTTTATGCAATCAATTATTACAATTTATAGCTCATGTGTTATTGACCCAAGCAAAGAAGGAATGATGATATCTGTTTTTTTGTTTGCTTGTTTTTGTTTTAGTGGCTAAAAACTAGAGAACAACCTCATTTCCCTCCCTTTCACTTTTGGGGCTGGAGTCACACCTCAGTCTTTTCTCAAGACACATCTCAGAGGACGGACACCAGAGGAAGGTTGCCTTTTATCCACTGCTAAAGAGAAATATCAAACAGTTCAAATCACTGGATAGGTAAAGAAAAATAAAGAGGAAATCTAAGCATCTCTCCAGCGCTCTGAGGCTGGAGTCAGGACGGGAAGTTGTGCAGGCAGCAGACATGGCTGTGAGCTGGAACAGAAGGCCTGTGTGAGCGCAAGGGCCAAATACTGCATCTCATCGAGCAAGTTTAATAGGCTCGGGGGGCCTCGCATTGAAGTTGGAACACATCTTAAAAAGGGAGAGAAATAAAACTCTGATCCACTGTGTAGCGGGGATTATTCTTTGCTTCAAGTTTTATTTGAAAGAACTGAAAGACAAGGTCCAGAAACCCTGGACTCTGACTTGGTGAAAAATAATCAAACAAAGCATTTATTTTCAGTCACTTCAAAGGACTTCTATGATGCTGAGGTGAGAAAGAGGCCGGAAAGCAAGGGAGGAGGCAGCCTTGCCTGGGTAGGCTGGATGAGGGGGCTGAGGAAGAGAGAGGAATTGATGGAGAGCAAAGTCCTCTGTTCCTTCAGAAGGGATGGCTGATGCCTGCATTGGGAGAAGGATGTAACTCACTTGCCTGCACTGGACGAGGCCACAGCCACAGAGAGGCATGCTACCTCCATAAAGGGTTGGGCATTTCCACTGCCCGATATCTACGTAAGAGGCTTAGAGTCAAACCCTGAATGCCTTTGGCCTAAGTGTCTCCCTCGAGGAGTCTGTGGGGTCGTAAGGATGCCTCAAGATAGGACTTTGCTATAAGAGCAGTGGTGAAAGCACCATGTCAGTGGCCTCAAGCTACAAAGAGAAGTACTTTGTAAGCCAGTTGACCTGCTTGTGGTTCTTCTGTATTTATTTCCTCTTCACAAAACCCAAGCAGACACTGCAATATACCATTCAGATCTGTCAGTAGTACCAGCTTTGAGGGTGTGCAACCTGTGGGGATGCACCGGGTCCATTGCTTAGCAAGTCTAGTGCACTGCTGTCTCCACCTTGAAGTCATGGTAATTTTTTAACAAGATGCCCTGTAATTTATATAGCAAATCCTTCGATCCACTTAGGGACTAAGGGGCTCATTCCCCAACTGTGGGGAGCATGGGCTAATGACAGATCGGGACTGAGGCCTTGCTCTTGTCTAAAGACCCCTGTCTTGCCCAAGATGAAGCCTTCTCCCCAGAGGCAATACAAAGCAGGATGGATTTGAAAGTGCAAAGACCCAGCCTCCTTGCCTCTGACTGGGAGATCTGGAAAACCCATCCTCATTCTGGAGCTCCCCATAGGTGAGGCTGACACCTCTGGTGCAATTGCGTCGTAGGTGGACATCTCCTTCTGTGCGGCTCTGTGCTCCTCCTTCTCTTACAAGTCTCATTCACATTCACTGCAGGGCTTGTGTATTAGTCAGCTTCCCATCACTCCAATACCTGACATAAACAACTAATAAGGAGGAAGAACTTATTTTGGATCATAGAGCTTTTATTCCACCATCACTTAGCCCAATGGCCAACTCCTCCTATTAGGCCCTACCTCCTAAAGTTTCCACTACTTCCCAATATTTGGAGACCAAGCCTTCACCACATTAGCTTTGGGGGGAGATTTAAGATCCAAATCACAATGACTCTCCAAGAAACCTCCTGCATGAAAATCTCCATCTCAAACCCTGTCTCCAGAGAATTGGGGATACAGACACAAAATCTTTCTGCATATGTGCCACTGGGAATCATGGAGAGACTCTGGGGTCCAAATGTGACTCAGAAGCTAGCATGTTCATGGTGGATATAATCAGTGAAAGGTCCCTAGGGCAAGGCAGAAAACTGGTGTCAGAGAGGTTAATAAACTGGTCCTTGCTGACACACAGATGGTAAGATTTTGAGCCAAGATTCAAACTTAGATTTCCTGGCCCCTACTTGGATTGTTTTACAATTTAGGAGAAGTTATCACAGTTCTAACCCTATGGAAACCCTCACAGTGTCTAGCTAAATGTGTAAAGGAGTTATAGAGTATTTCCTCCTTTTGTGGAATTATCAAATACTTTGTTATATTTTGCTGTTACTCCATGAACAGCCAAGAACTCAGACTTTCTTTGGAGATTCTGACAAAACTGAATGAATTTCCTCACCCACAGTTAATAGGACACGCAGCATCCTTCCAAATCTCTCTAGATTCATCAAGGAAGAATCTGAACCATCAGCTTTACCTGAGCACTTGTCCAAAAGTGACTGAGCCAGACTCTGAAGCTGGAGGTCAGTGATTGTGTCTTCTTCAGGCCTTCCTGGGAGTTCTCAGGCTTTAAAATTCCCTGGTCCAAAAATGGATCTTGGGAACTTGACTTGCCAGATCCTACTCTGAGCTCTGAGCTCTTGCTAAGAGAACAAGAGGTTGTTATGGCCATTTCCTGAAGTCTTTGTTTTTTGCAAACTAAAACCAGCAATTCAGCCCATTTTCTCTATGTCCCCCAATGCCATTTATACAATGCAATTGAATGTAGTACATCTTTTTAAATGTCAGTGAAAGAAAAAAGAAAACAAAACTAGGAAAGTGGAAGGGAAGATTGTCTCACATAATGACCCATTAAAAACCTTAGCTTACTGTTAAGCATCCCAGTTCCTCAGGGTTCCTAACCCACAAGAAAATGCCTCTGGTTTTCTCTTTTATTCCCATCTTCCAGCCAGGTAACCACTTCATTATCTTGAGCCTCGTCCCTTCTTGTTTTCCAACTTTCTTCCTCTCCTACTCATTTTAAAGTCATTTAATTTCTTCCTTGTTTATTTGGAGGCCCATCTTCATTTCACTCAATAGTTATTGCTTCAAATCAATACGACCCACCAGGAGGAGAATGGTGTTGGTCATTACAGCAGCTCTGATCCCTGTCACTTGTAGACCAATTTCTACTCCTCTTACAGCATCACCTACCCAGGCAGGTGCTGCTGCCACTTCACTGCCCAGTGTATTCCCACCAACTTGGACTGACTTGGACCTGTGCTCCGAAGAGTAGCTTTGGCTTTGATATTCTCTGAGGCCAAGACATTAATGAAATCACGCTTTGAGCTCTCTGGATCCCACAGAACCACAGATCTTGAGAATATTATATTCAAATCAAAGATGTCTAGGTAACCTTCTCTGTACAGAAAAAGAACAAATCTTTGTCTTAGCAATTCAAGCCCTGGACAAACTGTAGAAGTCATGCATTGGGACGCCTTAGTTTTTGTTGCCCTTCTCCACTTATTCCATGATACCTCTCCAATCACCAATATCTTGGTTCTCTGTGCTCTTGCCCGCTCTCTATAAGCATAAGAAGGACTCACCTCTTCCCAGGGCCTCTTTCCTTCAAGAGAAAAACAACAAAATCTCTTTGTACCCACTTGTCCTAACTTTTCTCTAAGTAAAAAGCTGATTTAGAACTGTTGGTTCTTGCCTGTAAGCCTACACTGGGAGGCTAACACGGGAGGATTACAAGTTTCATCCCAGTCTAGGGAATTTAAGGACTCAGAAAGACTATTTTAAAAAGGGAAGTGGGTACATACATAGCTCAATGGGAAAGGCCTGGGTTCAATCCCAAGTACTGCGAAAGAAAACAAAACATAAACTCAATGAATTCAATATATAAGACCAGAGTAAATCTCTACTTGAACCTTTAGCTGGCTCAGGAGGTCCTTTGAGAATCACCTTGAAGCCCTGGTCATTCTTTGAGTGTTCGAATGTGAGGCAGCACATCACAGAGTGTCTTCAGGCTCAGCATGCCCACGCAAGAACTTGAAACCTGGTTCCACCTCCTGCTACCTGTTCAAACTTAGATAGATCCCTTCTTCTCTCTATATCTTAGTTTACACATGTATGAATTGGACAGAATAATGGCATTTGATGAAAGCAGTAATTACTACAAGAAATTTAGAACTCAATGAAAAGAGATTTTCATCACCATTATGTTCATGGATGGCCCTGTTGATTGGGGTTGGCACTCTAGTGACTACAGGAATGCAGAAGTTGCTCTAGAATATAGCTTCATTTGAGATTATGCAAAGCAGCTGAAGCAATTTTATGCTGGTCTGGAAAGCAAGGGAGAAATCTGAGTTTTGCACATTTGGTGCCTGGCTTCAATAGGGCCTATTTTTTCAACATTCTGGAGTTCTCTGCCCAGCCAAACTGCCTTCTCTGTCCTCTGTCTTCCTGCCTCTTGCTGCTCTATAGATGGCTCTCCCATAGCCCTTCTGGATGTGCAGACACAAGGCATCCGATGAGAAATGAGTGGTTTGTTGTGATGACAACTCAAACCACAGTGCTGTCAAGATGCTCTCCCCAAGGCGCCCATGGGAGCAGGATGAAGCTCCACAGCCGCCCTCTAATTTGTATCATACCAGTCAAAGGCAGAATGATTCCCACATGAGTGAGAACCCTTTTGTTCACACACTCACTGCCCATTGACAGAATTCTTTGACGTGGCCAACTCCAGAAACACTTTCAAGGGTGATGATTAATTGTAACCAGTGAGAATAGTGAAGAAACTAGCTTTGTACCCTACCGATGAAAACACAGTACCCGGAATAGGGAATTACTATATTCCACCCCAATGCCAAATGTCCCCTCTTGCTCTGGCTAAAGTAGTGTGACTGAGAAGCTATTTAATAGTGGTAGAGCTACTGTTCATATAGCTTACTTAGCTGGAATCATGTCAGATTCTGTGTTAAAACTTGCATGGGTAACTTCTCTTGGAATCTATCTTAGCTAATTTCTCATTGCTAGTTCAAAATACCTGACACCCACAAGTTAAAGGTGGAAAGGTTTCTTTCAGCTTATGGTGTTTACAGGTTTCAGTCCATAGTCAAATGGCTCCAAGGCAGGGTGGCATGGCAGAAAGACATCACAGAGGAGAAATAATCCATGGCAGGGCAGGTAGGAGACAGCAAGCTGGAGAGACAGGCCTCCCTTTCCCTTTTATCCCATCCAGGTTACAAGTCTTTTGGATGGTGCCACCCACAACGAGAGTAGGCTTTCCATTATCCATACCCAGAACTATGCTAAACCAATTAGGTATCATATACCCTTAATCTCAGTACCACTTACCCTAGATCCAACCACCTTTGAAAAGCCCCACCTGTGAGTGCATGAGGCTTTAAGGGAATATCTAAATATGAGCCATAACAGAATCCCAATTCTTGTCTTATGAGATATCTAATATTCTGTTCTTTCTTTGCAAATGAAGAAGGCTGCAGAGATTAAATAACTTTCCCAAAGTCACATGCTTCCTTTTGGAT